CACAGTCCCCACTCTGAAGGAGCCCACAGCCGGACAATAACCACCACTCACGAGTAAAGGACAACGCCAGTGCACAGTAGGCACAAGCTATGCTGCTTCTAAGTCTTCCCCGAACCTCCAGGGTTCACTCCTGTTCCTCTTGATGGGATCTTGGGCCCCTGGATGGCAGGGACACTGTGTCCCTCTCCTTTCACAGTCTGTAGTGGATGGAGAGAGACCGGATCAGGCTTCCTGCCGCACCCATGCCTGGGATCCATGTGAGCCCCTGGAACCAGAGGCAGCACCACCTTCACAAGAACCTGGGCCTGCAGAGTATCATTGTGAGAATGTGCACTGGCAGAAAAGTCTGTCAAAAAATTCACTCATAGTTTGTGAACTCATCCAAAATGAAACAAAGGTATTTTCCCCTTCTCTTTGGGGGATGGCAACCTTTTATTTATTCTAATGAATTTGATTGATGCGTGCTTTTACTATCTGTATCAACCCCACAGGGGAGAAGGGAAGATCAGCAGATGACTGGAGGCCCTGAGAAAATCCCCACTGGCAGAGGTTTCTGAACTGCCAAGATTTTTACAGACTCCTGAGAAGGAGTGAGATCTAGGGCTTTGGTCAAAAAGAAGAGAACACCAGGAATGGCAGTGCACTCCCAGCACTCTGGGAGGCTGAGGCAGGAGGATCACAAATTGAAGTCTAGCTAGGGCAACTTAATATTTTAGCCAGTCCTTGCTTCAAAATAGAAAATATAAAAAGGGGTGGAGATGTAGCTCAGTGTGAAAGACCTGGGTTCAATCCCCGGTACCGTGTTATTTTTTCCTGGTCAGGGGAAAGACACAGGCAGAGGCGGTGGCAGGTGGGAAGGGCAGGGCTGAGCTTCATCAGACCAGCTACACTAAGAAGCAGGGGCTGGGTGTGGTACCGAAGCTTTTGTGACCTGACCAAGGCATGCAGTGGCCCTGTTTGACAAGGTGTGGGGCCACCACTGGGCCACCCAACCCTGACAGGCCTCTGCTGGCCACAGCAGCACTGGGCAAGGGAATCCCTAGAGAATCAGGAGCTGCCCCAGACACACAGAGGGGCCCTGAGCCCCCAGGTTCTCACATATCTGGAGGGGGAGCCCCAAGAACTGATGTCGGACAGACCTATAATGCTGGCATCCCTGAACTGAATTTAATTCAATTTAAACAAAGAAATGTAATCTTTCTGCACGCCCAGTGCCTTGGCATGATTCCAACCTGACATTTAAGGGGATTTTCTGAGATGATTAATTCATATCCACCTCACTGGCCAAGCACAGTTCCTGGACTTGGACACAACGGACATTTTTTTTTTTTGAGACAATGACCAGAGAATTGGGTCAGAGAGAAAAGTGTGGTCTCTGAAAAGTTGCTGCCTCTTAGGGGATCCCAGTGAAGGAAGAAAAAGAGCTTTAAAAGGATCCTAGAAAATATTTCAAAATGCTGGGAAACAGAGACATTGAGCAGCAGAGAGAATGCTTGAGACATAGAAAGGACAGAAAAGAAGGCCAGATGAGTGGGAGAGCCCTGCTCAAGTGCAAGACGATGGCCATCCGGTGACCAATGACACGGTGGATCTCGGAAGAGGAAGCCAGCTCTGAGGACAGCCTGCGGCCACAGACCTTCACCTGTCCTGGGACAGATCCCCTTCAGCATCCTTTTTGGCTGCCAGGGCTGAGGAAGCAGGCCGCGAATCTCTATGGAAGAACCTCTTCCACAAACAGGCTTTAGATGGCTGTAAACCCAAGGGAGATCAACAGGATCTTCCCACAAATGTGGCCTGGAGTCAACCCCCACTCCTGCCATAAATGAACCTGCAAAACATCACTCTGCTCTGCCAAACTCAAAGTGGCAGGAAAGCCCAGCCCTGCTACATGGACAGTCCTGCAGGACGGGCAGCCATGCGCATGGCAGGAGCCCAGCCTGCTCAAAGCCTCCCTCCAGGCAGCCTTCCAGCCCTCGGGGCCAGCCGAACACGGGCTGGCACCCAGGAAGTGGTGGGCAGGAGGGACAGGAGAAACCAGAGGCCACACAAGCCCTGCCTTCACAGCTCTGCTACTCCTACCACTGACTCCCCCACTCACAGGAAGCCCCACACTTCGGGGCAGAACCCAATACAGTGACCATTCACATCCATCCCTCAGCTTGTTTAAGAAAAATTGCTTGTCTACAACGCAGGCCAACATGCTGTGTGCCACCCCATTTAGAGTTTATTTTACATTAAATCTCCAAGCCAGAGTCCCTCCCATTGGTCTGCATAAAGGAGAGTTATTGGTCCAAGTGTTTTTAAAAATAGATGCAACTCCAGACCCCAAGAAACTGAAGGGATATTATGGGAATACACAACTGTATTGTTTTGTTACTATATGAAAAATTGGATTCTCCAGCACCAATTTCCCCCTCCTGCTTCTGGGTTCCTCCCTTTCCTGTTCCTCACCTGAGATGCTGTGGTGGCTCCTGGCATGGGAACATGATATATTACCAAGCAGAACAGCCGCGCCAAGCCCCAGGGTCCCCGCTGCTGCTCTGCACACCGAGCACGGGGCCTGACAGCCCCAGCTTCCGATCTCTGCAGACCAAGGAATTTATCGTTCTAGGCCAAATTTCAAATGAGAACCCAAGGCTTCAAGCTAGATTTAAGGATTGCATTTCACCACAGCCCTCCTACATAAGGTAGTCCTAGCAGGGGAAAGTCTTTTGAGCACTGACTTTTGGGGACACATAAGTACCTTCTGGCCGGATGTTGTGACCCTGATAGCTCTGGCCGTGTAGCCAGGTGCATGTGTGCACACACACACACACACACACACACACACTGTTGGCCACTGTGGGAGAGAGAGGAGGTGACTCCTTCACCCACTCTGTGCCACAGGAACAGCCACAGGACCATGTCCCACCCATGGAAAGAGCCACGCTGTCCATAATGGCCAAGATGTGGAAGCCTCCAGGCAACTGGGTAAGAGAGTCTCATATATGCACAGTGGAATAGAAGTCAGCCCCCAGAAGGGAAGGGACGCCAAAACACGAGACAACATGGATAAACCTCAAGGACATTTCAGTCAGGGAACAAGCCAGTCCCAGAAGGACAGAGGCCACATGGTTCCACTGCGAGGAAGTGCCTGAAGTAACTCACAGCAAGGGAATGCGGCAGCCAGAGGCTGCAGTTGGGGGAAGAGGAGAGTTGCTACCCGATGTGTACAAAATTTCAGTTGCACAAGATGAATTCATTCTAGAGGCTTCTGTGCAACCCTGTGCCAACAGATGACAATACTGTGCTGTACAATTAAAATCTGTAAGGACCACAGAGCCCATGTAAAGCGTCTTTCCAAAGCAACAATGAAAATAAAACAAACAAGGCTCAGGCTGTGATGTGCACAGAGAATAAAGCCTGCCCCACCCACCCTAACCAGAAGCACAGGTAGAAGTCAGCTCCGGGCCCCTCTGACCCACATTTACCTGACCAGCTACCTGCTCCAAGATGGCCAGGCAGGGCTCCCTGCTCGCTGTCAAGTTCCTCAAGGGCAGGGATCGTGCACTCTGCAGCCCGGAAGAGCAGCAGGGCCCGCTGCAGGCAATCACAGAAGCAGGGAGAGCGGATAAAGTTTAATTGTAAACATTTGTTCACCCAAGCGCTTACTACACATGACCTTCTCTCTAAATGCAAAATAAGTGAAAATTCCCACACTTGTTGAACGACAAATTGGCACCAATTTCCCCCAAGTTGTAAGCACACGTCTTCACCAAGTCTTTTTGTCATATTAAGGACCACTGGCCAGGACACACACGCAGGACGTCCTCCCCATTGCTCATGATTCTTCTCTGAAGGGTGCACACGCTCACAATCCCGGCACAGAGAGTGAGCTCCTCCGCACGGAGTCACAGGACAGCAACCTCGTCCTCCACACAAGAAGCTGCAGCCTCAGCAAACCTTCCCCGCAAGCATCTCCTTGCTGGAGGAGACCGGAGGCAAGAAGAGGCCAAATTCCCCTCCTGAGTTTTCCATCTCTACCTTTTGCCCTTCTCCCTCCCAACAATGCCAAGTGACAGAGAGGCCTGTGGGAGCCATCCCTGCACATGCACACACACACACCACCAAGAAGATCTGCCTCCTGCTCACGGTCTGCCCAGCACACAAGAGGTTCTGCCCTGGGAGGAGCACCCAGCACCTTCCCTCAGTGCCATCCTTCTCTGCAGCATCCTTCGTCTTCTCTAACTCTTTTTCTTTTCCTTCTTTGCAGAGCTGGGTGGAACCCAGCGTCTTTCCCACTGAGAAAGTGCCTCCTACTGTGTTCTACCACTGACCCACATCTCAGACCCATCTGTTGCCTTTTTGTGAGGCAGCAGGGTGCTCGAGCAGGGGAGCCAGAGCAGGTGGTACCAAGCGCCAGGTCCCACCTGGGCTAACAGTGCTGCCACCATCCCTGAGATCCAGCGGTGGGCACCTGCTTCTCCGAGTCAAGCTTGTCCTTTTCTGTTTCTTCCCGTCAGAGAGCAGGGATCCATCCCAATCACTTACCTCACAACCATGGAGGATGGTCAGGGCGGTTTCCATCCTGACCACAGATTCCATTCTCCTGTACCAGATCAGCTCTGACACAGGAGCACTTCAGTGTCACGCGCCATTATTTCCGGGTTCTTCATGCCCTGCATGAATCCCGGATGTGAGTCCGCCGGTGACGGCGGTTCACGCCTGCGCAGAAGAGGCGCTTGGCTCGTCAGAATGACGCAGGCCGGCATTGACCAATAGAAATGGGCCACGTCACCCGAGAGGCTATAAAAGGCAGGCTCGCGTCCGGCTCGGGGTCTTTCCGCCATTTTGAAGAATGTAGAAGAAACTCCAATAAAGCGTGCATCAGAAGAATCCTGAGTGTTGCGTGCTCCTTGCTGGCGAGGTGCGCGCGACAAGTGGTGCCGAAACCCGGGAAGCGACGACCATCATCGCCGGCATCAGCGGAGACCCCTGACTTCAGGAGGATTCAGAACTGAGCAGCAGGAGGGGAGGATCCACCAACTTTCCGAGAGGTACGCTGTCTGGTGTGGGCGGGTGTTTTAATTTGTTTACTCCAACAGGTTTAACTTTGTCGGTCGCCCACTTTCATAGATAAGGGAGAAATGGGGAATTCTACTTCACAATCACTGGTTTATGCTTTACAA